AGTCCATGAATTCCCGAAACTCGGACGAGGTGAAAGCCATCCCATTGTCCATTACGATGGCGTCTGGTATGCCATGTGTGCTGAAGATCCACCATAGGGCACAAATTGCTGCTCGGGACGATGTGGAAGGGAACGGCACCACTTCTAGCCATTTGGAGTATGAATCCACCAGGATGAAGAAGATCTGGCCCTGGAATGGACCCACAAAGTCGAGGTGTAGGCAGGCCCATGGCTTGTGGGAGGACTCCCACTGATGCGTCGGGGCCCTGGGGGGCTCCGGCTGGGACTCTTGGCACATCTGGCAGCGTTTAACACAATCCTCAATTTCGCTGTCCATGCCAGACCACCAAACGTAGCTGTGGGCTAGAGCCTTCATATGCACGATTCCCGGGTGTGTTTTGTGTAAGGCTGCTAGGACTCACTGGCGCAGCAGAGCGGGCACAACCACCCAGCTTCCCCACAACAAGCAGCCCTTGTGGGCTGACAGTTCATCCCAGCATGAGGAGAATGTGGCGAACTTCGGGCCCACCCGGCTGGCGGGCCAACCCCTCCCCACCCAGTCCAAAATGTGGGAGAGCACGTGGTCCCGTGCAGTGTGGCAGGACACATCAGGTACCTGGATGGGATGGTCGGGCAGGTCTTCAAGGAGCAGGATCTGATGTGCAGGCCCAGGTGTCCAGGTCGCAGGAGGGCAGCAGGAGGCGTCTGAGGGCATCTGCGTGACCCATTGCTTTACTGGGCCTGTGGAGGAGTGCATACTGGTAGCCGGCCATGAAGATAGACCATCGGAGCACCCTGGGGGACAGCATCTGTGGGGTCTGGCAATCCAGAGCCAACAGACCCAGGAGGGGGTTGTGGTCTGTCACGATGGTGAAATGCCACCCATAGAGGTAGTTGTGAAACTTCTTGATACCTGCCATGATTGCCAGTGCCTCTTTGTCTATTTGCACGTAATTGCACTCAGCCGAGGACAAGGTGCGGGAGTAGTACGCCACAGGAACCTCTCTGCCATCTGGTAGCTGGTGACCAAGGACAGCTCCTACCCCATACGGTGAGGCATTGCAGGTGAGGATGACGGGCAGCGATTCGTCGAAGTGTGCCAGGATGGTGTTCGAGGTGAGCAGCTCCTTGACAGCCCGGAACGCGGCAGCTTGCTTCTGGCCCCAGACCCAGGGGGCCTTCTTGTCGAGGAGTCAGTGCAGTGGCTCCACAACTGCAGCCTTGTGGGGCAGGAAGAAATGATAAAAGTTCCACAGCCCCAAAAAGGCCTGGAGTTCTGGCTTGTAAGCGGGAGCCGGGGCATTGATGATGGTATAGACCTTGTTGGGAGCAGGATGGATGCCCTGGGCATCAACGGAGAACCCCAGGAACTCAACTCGCAGAATCCCCAGGAGACATTTTTCCCCTTTTGCTTTGAGACCGGTGGCTTGAAATCGCTGCAGGACAGTGCACAGTCTCTTGGCGAAATCCTCATCTGTGGGTGCGGTGATAAAAACATCGTCGAAGAAGGGCTGTACCCCGGAAATTCCTTTAAGGAGAGAGTCCATTCGATTATGGAAAATCCCTGGGGCTACGCTGACCCCGAATTGCAGCCACTGCACCCAGAATGCACCCCTGTGCGTCACCCTCTACGATCGCATTGTCCACAAGGAGCTGTTGGTAAACCTGAGCTAAATCCAGGTTACCAAAGACTTTTGCGCCTGCCAGGGATGCTAGGACGTGGCTGACCACCGGGACTGGATATGCATGGACCTGGAGGGCCTTGTTTATCGTGCATTTGTAGTCCGCGCAGATGCGGACGTCTCCGTTGGGCTTTACCGGGGTCATGATAGGGGTTTCCCATAGGGTGTGAGGTACTGGCTCCAGGGGTGTCCCAGTAGCTGTTGCTGCTGGGCGGACGTGGTGTGTAGCTCCGCGGAGTGCGTCAATGTTGGGTTTGCCACTGGTCGGCTCTGGTTCTCTTTGATGCGGCAGGCTCGGGCGATATGGCCGACCTTTCCGGAGTTCCTGCACATGGCATCCTGGAATCGTGCCTGCCTCATTTGTGCCAAAGCTGAATGTAAGTGATGCCCTCGGGCAGCCGCCCAGAGCTCAGTGTCCACCCTGCGGCATTCCAGAGGAACTGCGCCAACCAGTCAAGATGGCGATGGCTGGGGTGTATTTTTACGATGAGGAATATGGTGATGGGAGAAGAGGGCAGAGGCCATCGTGGCTGAATCACGCGTGGTGGCTTGCCACCAAAGAGGATTCTAGTCGGGGACCATCGTTGTATCGAGTTTCGTAATTTCTGGGTGCAAAATATTCCAGTGGTTTTAGGCTCCTTTTGCACACGATTCTGTGTTCTCTTGTGCAACATATAGAAGGCTAATTTACCTTCACCAAAGTGTGCATACCCAGGGTGGACAAAGAGGGCCGGTGTCTGTCTACACTTTCTCGCTCAGCTCTGCGTATGTGCAATAAGGTGCAAATCAGGTTCATTAGTGCAGATTCCTGAATGTATTGGTCTGACAAAATGCTTCCCCCCAAAATGGAAGGGTTTGTTAATTAATTAACAATTTTGAGGGGAAACATTTGGAGGGGAAGGACATTTGGAGGAGAAGGACATTAAACCATGCAAACATTAACCCATGTAAACAATTAAAAATACACTTAAGCTCTGACCTGGATAGCTCAGGCAAGCCCGATCTCGTCAGATCTCCGAAGCTAAGCAGGGCTGACCCTGGCAAGAGGTTGGGAGCAGTGTACCCTTCAAGCTGAGTTAGCGTGAGCTAACTCACAAGTTTTTAGCCACCGGCTCACAAATCTTTGTCTTAGCTCAGGAAAGATAGCTCCAGAGCAAACTAATTTATGCAGCAGCCAAATTGCTCGCTCACAACTTTAATGCCACTAGCTCACAAAGCAGAATTTCTGCTCACAAGACTCCACAGCTTAGAGGGAGCATTGCTTGGGAGGGTGACCTCCAAGGAATACCAGGGCCGGGACACAGAGGCAGGTTGTATCAAGCCACCTCTCTTAAATGTCCTAGTTCCACTAGGGATCACCAGAGGTCACCATGACTACCAGGCTCTCAAGCACATACAGACACAAAGAATTCAGTTAAAATGATAAAAATTCAATCGAAAACACAAGTTGGGTTGCACAGACCGGCCATATATTTCATTTACCCCATCCATCCTCCCAGGAGTTGAATGCCCACCCTTGTTTCTGTCCTTACAACAGCCCTGTGAGGTAGGGTAGGGTGAGAGCAAGTGGTCCACAGTCATCCTGCTGGCCCAGAATTGGGATTTAAACTGGTCTCTGCATTCCTCGTCTCAGCACTCTAATCATGAGATACCGCACTGACCATAAGGGCAAAAGACACTTTATGGGCCATGCACGATGGTGGCCATTCATGCTGGGTATGGCAGGGACATGATCCTGCTGGTCATTCGTTATGTATAATTTGGTGGAAGAATGGCCCTGAAGAATGTTTGAAGTGTGTCGTTCTGGTTGTTTCCGAATTTCTTTTCAGCTGAATTCTTCCCTGGACTTTGGGTAGGGTTGCCAGGTCCCTTCGGAGATGGGGGGAGAGCTTACCAGGAGTTTATCCCACGTTTCGGCAACGCGCACCACGTGGCTTCAACACGACCCAGAAGTGATGTAGGTGCACGTCAGAGGGCTCGGGGCAATGCTCTCGTTCCCATGGAAGGTCTGACCCCAAGCTTAGTGATCAGCTCTCCTTTATTAGTGATCCAGCAAGAACAAAAAGCAAAAAGCAAACAACTGCCCTGTTTAAATAGCATGCAATTCCACCCACTTCCCCAAATTGCTATCAACGATAGGCCATTGTCAGAACCCTTGTCAGCACCAGTTTGGTGTAGTGGTTAAGTGAGCAGACTCTAATATGGGAGAACCGGGTTTGATTCCCCACTCCTCCACTCGCAGCGGCTGGATGAGCTTGGGCAAGCCATAGTTCTGTCAGAGGTGTTCTTGAAAAAGAGCAGTTTCTGTCTGAGCTCTCTCAGCCCCACCTACCTCACAGGGTGTCTGTTGTGGGAAGGGGTTTGTAAGCTGCTCTGAGACTCCTTTGGGTAGTGAAGAGTGGGGTATAAATCCAATCTCTTCTTCTTCTTCTAATATTGGCTGAATAAGCCTACAGTGTTAATTTTCTGTTAATATTTCATTAAATTGAATTGAGGGCTAATGTCTACAATATCTCATGATGAACCAGATATTAGTGGCTGCAGTGCCTAGTACAGTTGTCACTTGGAGTGTAATGGCCAGAGGTCATTTCAGGGGGAACGCGGGGGAACACAGTTCCCCCGGGTGAGGTGCAGGGGGCGGGGCACATGACGAAGCCCCTTCTTCTTCTTCATTCATTCCTCATTGGCCACCTCCATAGTCCTGGTGGGCTATCGTTCTAGAGCTCCAAGTTCAGCCAGTCTCTGGTAGAAACAGTCCTGGAATGTTCCAGCCCCAATACATAACAAACTCTAAGGCAGAATGAGCTTCTACCATAGAGTTTTTGCCCAAAAACCAGAGCATCCCCTTGACATCCCCAGCATGCCTACATCACTTCCGGGTCACATTGGAAATCCCGTAGGCTAATCACTGAAATGTCCGTTGTTCCTCCCTTTTGGGAGCTGCAGTGGCTCAGAGGTTAAAACGCTGAGCTGCAGACCGGAAGGTCTGAAGCTCAGCAGTTCGAGATCCTAGTGCTGCATGATGGAGTGAGCTCCCACCTCTGGCCCCAGCTCCTGCCAACAGAGCAGTCCGAAAGCAAGAAATTGCAAGTACCACTGTGGTTGGAAGGTAACATCATTCCGTGCACCTCGGCGTTTAGTCATGCCGGCCATATGACAACAGAGAAGTCTTCGGACAGCGCTGGTTCTTCGGCTTGGAAACGGAGATGAGCACCAACCCCTAGAATCGGATTCGACTAGCTTTCGCGCAAGGGAAACCTTTACCTTTTTAAGTCCCCGGCACCGGCCAGCTGATCGGTGGCAGAGAGGTGGGTCTGGCATCCCTAATTTTGGGAGTTCCAAATTTCCTGTCCTTGTCTTTGAGGTAAACGTAACATTCAGGAGTCTTCCTTTGTTCCATATCTTCCCCCTCCCCCCCCATTTCTGAATTTTGAGCTGAGCGTTGTTATGGGGGAAATCAGTTTTCACTCGAATCTGTGCCGAGCCTCGTCTGCGGGTGATGTATGTAATCTTCATTTTAATATTCTTCATTTCTCAGTGCATCGCTCGATACTGATAAAATGCAGTTTAGGAATTCTCTTAAATTGAAAAGATGCCAAAAGCAGAAAAAAGGTCAAAAACTGTGTAGAATGCAGGGGGAGGATAATTGCTACTTAATACGGAGTTGAAGGGGCTGTGGCTTGGGACGAGGCTTTGCTTTGCATGCAGACATTCCCAGATTCAGTCCCCGGCATCTCCAGCTGAAAGGCTTGGTGGTAGGTGATGCGGTTAGACCTCGCCTAGAGCATTGTTTTCAGTTTTGGGCACCACCATTGAAGAAGGATGTAGACAAGCCGGAACGTGTCCGGAGGAGGGCAGTGAAGCTGGTGAGGGGTCTGGAGACCAAGTCCTATGAGGAAAGCTTGAAGGAGTTGGGTATGTTTAGCCTGGAGAGGAGACCACTGAGAGGTGATCAGTGTTCCCTCTAAGCTGAGTTAGTGTGAGCTAGCTCACAGTTTTTTAGCCTCCGGCTCACACATTTTTGTCTTAGCTCATGAAGGAGGGCTCCAGAGTAACGTAATTTATGCAGTAGCCACAACTTTGATGCCAGTCGCTCACAAAGTGGAATTTTTGCTCACAAGACTCCACGGCTTAGAGGGAACATTGGAGGTGATATGATAACTGTTGTGTACTGAGCCAGAGTCATCCCTGAACTAGTATCTGGATGTGGTTGAGCTTGTTTCCCCCGAACAATAGCTTACTAGGATCCTGGAGTGGAACAATACAGAAACAGTGTTATGTAAATAGCCTATCCTTGGGAGTGGGGTGTGTTTGGGGTGTGGTGATTGCAAGCTTAAAAACAGGGCTGCTGCCCTGGGGTTTGTCGTAGTGTTCTTGAAATCACTTCATAAATAAGAGCTGTTCACTGCAATGCACCCAGAACCCAGTATTTAACAATAACCATCTTCAAGTACTCGAAGGGCTGTCATGTAGAGGATGGGGCAGAGTTGTTTTTTGTTGCCCCAGAAGGCCGGACTAGAACCAACGGGTTGAAATTAAATCAGAAGAGTTTTCGGCTAAACATTTGGAAGAACTTCCTGACAGTTAGAGCTGAAGGGTCACCTCAGTGCTTAGTTCTCGTGTCCCTTTCTTACACGCCCAGGGAAATGCCAATCACCACTTTGGGGTCAGGAAGCAATATTTCTCCAGGCCAGTTTGGCTGGAGATCCGGGAGGTTTTTTGTCATCTTCTAGGCATGGAACAGGGGTCACTGGGTGTGTGTGTGGGGGGAGGTATTTGTGAATTTCTTGCATTGTGCAAGGGGTTGGACTAGATGACCCTGGGTTGGACTAGATAAATATAATGCTACAGCAACATAGTAACTACCAATATATATATTTTTAAGTGGCAAAAAGCCCCTGTTGGCAGAGTGGGGGAGAGAATGGTGGAGACACCATTGTGCAAGGGGTTGGACTAGATGACCCTGGGTTGGACTAGATAAATATAATGCTACAGCAACATAGTAACTACCAATATTTTTTTAAAAGTGGCAAAAAGCCCCTATTGGCAGAGTGGGGGAGAGAATGGTGGGGACACGGGGATTCCAAGGGAAAATGGCACTTCCATGGGCACAGAAGTTTGTCTGTTCGTTTGTTTTTAAATCTGCATTTGGCTTCCACATGGTGACCAAATTCACGTTGAGTACAGTCTTGCCAGAAAGGTTGTACCGAAGCAGGTTTGAGAAAGATTGCATCGAAGTAGAGGGAAGCGTGAAAGTTGGACAGAATCACGATTAGATGCAGGCACTTTGGGGGGGGGGGGTGAGGGTTGTCAGCCTCCAGGTGAGGCCTGGGGAATCTCCCAGAATTACAACTCATCTCAAGATGACAGAGATCGG